AATTGGTAAAATCCCCCCCCCCCCCCCCCTTTTTTTTAAGAATTTTGATTCTTCTAAATATTTTTGGTCAAAAGTAAATAATATATAATTACAATTATTGTTGTCACTACCATCATTGCCACTAGGTGCACTAAACACTCTTTTAAAATACATGATGTATGTTCACAAAAAATGTCAATGGTTTCACAAATCTCATAAGAGACACCTACCTCTTTAGGTTATGTTCTCGATCACTGTCACAACCTAGCATAATCCATCTCATCCATACGAATCATTTCAAAACAAATCATAATATAACCACTTAAAATAGGATTGTCACTTAATGACCTAAGTTATTAAAAACAATGAATGCTCTTTAGAGTTCAACATGTAAATTTCTCTCTATAACATTTGCTTAGCAAAGATAGAGCTTGCTTAGTGATGACACTCTATTGAGCCACTAGACCATCACGTTTAACATGTCTCTATAAGGAAATTTGTGCCAACAAAATAGAAAGCTACCTAAACTCTTTATAATTCTCTCGCTTAGTGATAAATCTCCTTGCTTAGAGCTTGGTCGCATATTCCACTTATGCAAAATTTGTATCAAAATTTGTCTTCTCACTATGTTTGATTTTTGTCTCACTTTTATCATGTCTTACAAATTTATGAATTCAAAGCCTTAATCAAAGGTTTTAACTTAATCATAATTCAATTATGTGTTTTATTAGATTCCATACACATTCGTACCCAAATTTTACTTGGGCTAAAACCCACACCATCAACACATTCAATTTTCAATTACAATAAGGGCAAACACATGGAATAACAAATTCTCATCCAAACATTCATCAGCTATCATCACAAATATATAAACCCTAATTATCAAAGGCATCTAACACAATAATCAATCTAAATAAGAATTATAGGAATAATAAAAATTTCTACATACATGCCTAATTAAAAAATTAAATAAAGCTTTTAAATATTTATAATATATCCAAAAGACATGTAAGTAAAATCTATAATGTCTAGGACTAATCTTTCTATCCACAACCCTTATTATATCTATGACTGAGATTAGGAGTAGATAAATGGATCCAGATCCTTGGTTGGTCTGCGAACCTCACAGATAAGAAACCTTTTTTTCTTCTTCAAATTCTTGTAATTTTTTTTTTAATTTTTTAGCTCAATCTGTGAATTCTACAGACTTAACGGATTTAATGTGTGGGTTAACCTACGAATTTCACTAATTAGTATTTCACATATTAAGGCTTTTAATATTTGGTTTTGTGGTTGAACTTTTAAATTATTATGACATTAAAACTATATTAGTTGATTTGCATTTTTCATTTGGATTATTTTTTAAGATATTTTGATATAAAAAGATTTTTTCTTCTAATTTTATGCATTTTTTATTTTTAAAATTATTTTTTAAACTCACAAATTAGTCTAATTATCTGTAGATTTTGGAAGGTCAGATTTATTCTTAAAAAATATCTTTTATTTCATAGACCAGACTTGTACATCCATATAAGACATATATTTTACAGATAAGACCTTAAATGCGTCAAATCATTTATATACACATCTCTAAATTAGACAATTTACCTTTTTTTTACTAGAATAAACAAATTTCAATATAATAATGCAAATCAAAACAATAACACATTAGCACATACAAAATAAATTGAACCGAATTAAAATTAAAAAAACCATTTATATAAATTGAAAATCAGTTTAAGTGACTTGAAATAAATTACTTTTTATTTCGTTAAACTCAATTAAACTCGAAAAGTTTAAACTCAAATACGATTTAAATTAAACTATTTTGATGGTAAAAATAAAGTTTATAGTATTGAATTGAACCAAAACAATCTTTAAATGAGATGAATCAATCCAACTCTTTATTGTAAATGATCATGATACAATTTTTCACATTCAAATGAAATAAGGCAACTCTTCATTTAAATGAATTATGAATGTTTGAATAGGACAAGTGGGATTCAGCTTCCAATTGCGGCGGGAGTACTAATTTATCAATTTGAAGTTTGTCGGAAGATCTGTTGTCCCTGTTAAGTTTACGTAAACTATTTGCAGCACTATGCTTGCAAATATACTTTCCTTATCCAAAAAGAATTTCTAGCATTTGATTTTTGTTAAAATTATTTCACCTGCATAGTACTATTTGTTATCGTTACTGTTCCTAAGTCTGCTTGCTCTGGTCTCTTGTTCAAATAGAATCTTCAAAAAAAAAGATATATTTTTTTTCTAGAATATTTAATACAACCAACCATCTAGCCAGGACATGAACAAGAACAATGAACGAATTATAGATTTAAAAAAAATAAAATGAAGTGAAAAATAATAAAGTGAATTGGAGTAAAAGGAGGGAGGGCCACGTGATGCCATTGAATGCGAGGCGTGCAGAGGGGACAAGGGCACGTGAACATGGGGGTTTGTGAAAGTGGGGGACTCTGCGTAGGGACCATCCTTTCAATTATGGGATCATCATGTTGCTCATCACTTCTAAATAGTAAATAGTAATACTCCGCCGATATATTTTGCGCATTTCCCGGGTCCCAACACTTATCTATTCTCATTCTTTCCCAACCCACTCTCAATTTTTCATTTTAAAAATAATATGCATCTTCACCTTCACATACCATATAATTACCATATTCACACACACAAAATATAATTAACATTTTAAACCTTAAGACTAAAATATTGACATGTTATTGCTTTTGAAACGGTCAATTCTCGAGCCATAAACACCACTGGAAAGCTATGTCCTAATGTATTTGACTTGTTAGCGCAGACATTTATTACCATCTACTGTATCAATGGAATCCAAAGATGTTTTAAGCTTCGCCGAAAATTCAAAAGAAGCTGAGATTGCATTTTGAACATAAAAATCTTATTTGAAGCTTTAATTTTTTTTGTTAAATATCAAATAATAGTTTATTGCTCACGAGTCCAAACAAAACTGAAATACAGGGCCGCGGCAATGATAGATGTTCAAGAACTGGTTAAAAAGAAAAACATTGATGGGGATAGTACTAGTATCAAGTCTTATTCGTATATAAAATAAAGTGGACCAAGACGTTTGACTTGGTCTTGCAATATTGATTGTTCACTCCATCTTGCTAGTCAAGCCATAAAGATTAACTGTTTGAAAATTAGTATCTCATCGCCGTACCTTGTTTTTGGGATTTCCCATATGCATGGATAATTGGATATAATGCCTTCAGTGGTGGATTGCAAAACCATACATCAGCGAGAATCTCTAAAAACATACAAATAAAAGTGTCTTCAATTATGATGCTGCAACAGCATCTATCGCTACATATGGTGAAAATTATTTAGGCTCATAAATGCATCTCCAACTTTTCTCCATAAACAGGGCAAATGACACAAGCATTTACCTCTGACCTCTGTTTCTGTACTAAGTAGTATAAACTCGACTAACAAAAAATAAAAATAAAAATCCTTGTAACAAATTTTTTCCTTATCCCTGCTGCTTTCATTCCCTTGCATTATTTATTTGAAGCAGCGCTTTCTTCACACATGTACTGTACATCTGGGTAGTTTTATCCGTGTGTATGTATATTCCTGAGAAAAGAATGGTATAATACAACAGGTGGATAATATATATGCTTCACTTATGGCATGTTGCAACTTCATGGATCCTCTTGGAATTAGAAGATATGCATATTTCGCTAATATGGTGATGTATATATATAAGGTAGATGGGAAGATGAATCACATTCTGAATCTTCTTGACGAATTACCGGTAATGATGAATTATTGGAGCAGCCAACCTAGGCATATTCAAGTATAGCACCAGTATGATTGAACCCACATGAAACTTGCAATGCTTTCACGTCTTCTCCAAAGCAAACTCTTGTAGGATTTATATAGTCCACATCACTTCCATGGCCCTAAGTGAAGACATAAACTTTATTTTTAGAAGTGAATGACAGACAATTGAGCACTTGGCAAAATTAAAGGCAAAAAACTAATCAATTATTTAAGATATGCACCCTAATGACTTATCAGATCGCACATTCTCTAAAGGTAATATAAAGTGTTCCATTAGAAAGCTAGTGTCTGTGTGTAAAATTTTATATACATATGGAAGTCATGATTAATTGTGCAATTTCTCGTTAGGTTCTCTTTTGTTGTCTGTGTCATAGAATCTGGCATCCGGACCAGTGTGTGTGTATAAATGTGTAAGCTGCTCTTGAAACATTTTTAATAATACTAGGATTTATAAATTATTTGAGAAGTAGAAGTATACCAATTGTCCACTCGAAGAATGTCCAACTTCAGAGAAAGTCCCATTGGAACCTCCCCAGCCCCACGTGAAGACTCTTCCTTCTGAAAGTCAATGAAAATTTCCAGGATAAATGACACTATCACAGAAATAAAATCCTTTTCTTGTGCAATTACAAGTACAATACAGCATAAAAATTTAAATAATCTTAGAATAAAAATTTATCAAAGAAAACCGAAAAAATCCATGCCATAACTTGAACAATGCAAATAGGAGTTATGTATTTCATTAAGGGTTTGGTAGATAAACTTTTTCATAAGCATTTCTCGGAGAGAACAGTATAAAAGGGAAAAAAAATCTCCATAATCTAAAACTAGTTCATGCAAAAGTCAAAATAGTTTTTTTTTTTTAAAAATTAACATGAGAGAACTTCTATAAATTAATTTATGCAAAAACTAATTTTAGCTTATAAAAAAACTTATTTCCTTCTTTTTTTTTTTTCTTCCTAAAAGTGTTTCTAAAGAAATTTATTCAAACAAATCCTAAATCTCCGTAGAAAGCTTGGAACACTGCAGAAATCTATAAAGGTTATGCCAATTTACATGCAGGGAAATGCACTTTTTGATCATTAAAAGAAAAACCAAGTATACCACAAATAGATACTGGAAACAAGAAAAATAATCAAGTTTCTCCAGGAGGCAGGAAACTTCATTCAGAAAGTTTCTAACCACATTATTTAGCTACAAACGACATGCTTGTTCTTATTAATTCCAGAGTACCAGACTATCTGTTAATTCCTTCATTATTCTTGTAACTGAAATTTTCTTTTTCCATTATGACAAGGGGTTCCAAGGTTTTGCCCAGTAGTCCAGTCTCCATGCCAGTCTTGGTGCATATTTGGATGGATTCACTTTTTTGGGATCAAAATAACTTGCAATCAAAATATTATTGCAATTTCTTTTCTTTGTAAAAACAAGAGATTTTCCCACATAATTAAGCAAATCCAGACATGCTATGAGTCTGCTTTCCTATGTCCTGCTTCAGACTTCATAGATTTTTTAGGGTCAGAATAACATGCTATTCATGAATCACATGTTAGATGAGTTCGTGCATCACCACTTAAATGCAGTTAGTTTTCATTGGAATTAGTAGTTAGGAAGTATCACCCATTTACTCTTTGCTTAGGAAATAGTCCCCACTCCCTGCCTTAGTCTATTAAGAAATTAAGAATATATATATGCACACACAAACACATACAGAAAGAGAGAGAGATGCTCTCTCCCTCTAAAATAAACATTCACTTCCCACACTAGGTATGAACTAGACACAGCAAGGTGAGTAACAAACTTCCTCATCATTTGAATCAACATCTATTGTTAAGTTAACAACATGCTTACCATCAAGAGTGTAATCCTCACATCTCTAAGGAAATTTCTTTCAATGAGCAATTTATTTGGACATGTTGGATTTGGATATACTCCTGAACCCACCTGACCCAACTAAAGCTTAAAAAAGCTGGCTTGAGTCAAGTATCCATGTTAAATCCAGTAGAACATCCCCAATTCTGCTAAGTTATGGTTGGAACTCAGGTTGATAAAAGTTAAACCTGTCCAAACTGATCAACCTCAAACTCCCTCTTCTTCCCACCCTTTTTTCAGCTTATTATTACTTAATGGATTGGCTGGATTGGTTCAACTTAAGATGAGCATAAAGTTTTACAGAAAACAAAGTGTTGTGATCACCTCTAACATTTGGTCACTACTTGCTGTAAAGCACATTGCTTTTAAAAAGGGTTCCTCCAATAGATATGTAAAGGGATTGGGTAGCTTTGCTTCATTGATACTTACATTTTTTTTTGTGTCTTGATGAAATTATTCCTTTCTTTTTTTGATACATGGGAAAGCTTAGAAGAGACAAGAAAATGAAATAAGGTCGTAAAAGAATTACACCCATCGTGTCCAATTATTCCTTTATAATAAAAGAAAGCTACCTTTACATCAACATGACAAGAAAAAATTACTTAACGGCAATTTTTTTTTCTTTCTAGTCTATTCATGAGAAGAACTTACCAGAAATGGCTGCAGTATGCTTCCAACCACAAGAAACATGGCTAACAGACGACTTCAAGAATGGCCCTTGAACCTTTTGAGGTAGATGAATGACATCTGAGGATCTAGATAAAAATAATTTGAAGAATGAAAACACCAGCATGCAGAGACAAAAAAAAATGTAAATGTCAAAAATCAAAATGACCAAGAAGTCTTTAAGTATGAAAGGATACCCAATACCAAGGCAGCCATTTTCATTTGAACCCCAAGTATAAAGCTCACCAGAATCTATAGAAAAACAATAGAGTGAAACAGTAAACAAATGATCACAAACAAATCAACACATGGTTAAGTTCTGAAACTGATGAATTACTTGTCAAGACACACGTGTGGTAGCCACCACAAGCAACTTCTTTTGAGTATGGAAGTTCACCAATCAAGGATGGTTTTGTTGCATTGCTCATTTCCTTTAAACGCTGAATATTTTGATTGAAAAAAATATTAGGCATTACAAGCAGTGAACAATGAGTGGGAAAAAAAAATAATCACTTGTGATTGAACATACCAATTTGTCAATCCCTCTTTCACCGAATATAAAAACAGAACCATTTTCTGCAACATTTACATCAAGATATAGGAAAAAAAATTCCCAATGCATAGTACAACCAGACATGAAATGAGAAAAAAAGAAAAATAAAAGATTTAATTAGATTCAAGTACCATCAGTACAAGCTGAATTTAGCAACCCAGCAGCTACATATTTTACCTAAACAAATTCAAGAATGAAGCCAAAACAATAAAGATTATAGTTAAAAGTTTGAAGCAATATAACTCTTAAATTAGAAGCAAGAAGGCCATCCATTTAACATCACACCTTGATTCCTTCAAGATCCTTTATAAGCCTTGGGGTATACTCACTGCATGATATTACAAAGTTTATCAATACAGATATACATAAACTGAATAGTATGGTAAATACTACATGGAGTCCTGGTTTAAACAGCTCTGTTTGGATAATTAGACTCTCTCCAGTATCAAATATAGACACCATGTTTGCATAGTTAATTTTTTCTTAAAGATTTACAATTTTGAAATTCTACAGACATGTTTCAAGAGCAAAAGGTCTTCTTCAATATATTCTAAGTGAAACATCTTTGTACAGGACTATAATTGGTTTAAAGCTACATGCATTTCTGTCCTCTTTTCTTAATCATTCAGTTAAAAAATCAAGTACAAGAAAATAAACAAATTGGCTTATGATTGTACCAAGTATATTAAATTGCAAAGAAAAAAGTCAATGATAAAAAAGAATAAGCAAAGACAAAAATAAAATAAACTTCTTTTAATATTTTCACTATATTTAATTTGGATTGAGCTCTATATAAGCTAAATTATCTGTTAGAATCTATTTTGTAAATTAGCGTCTATCAGTTAATATTATACCATTTTATTGTATCTTTTCCTTGTCAGCCAATCTATGTATAGGTTACCCCCTATTCACACATTCAGAGGAGGTCTTTTATGACAACCTGATGGCAATCATCATAGGCATCCCTATGAACAATATTCTCAACAACATTTTTTTTCCAAAATGAAGAATGGTTTTGCTGCACAGCATTAGTGATAAATTTTAGGTGTAGCCTTTTCCTAGCTCTCAAATCTTCTTGACTGAGTGCAGGCTAGTAGAAAGTGTGAAAAAATGGCTGTTCTATCAAGGAGAGTAAAAACTAAAAATGAAAAGGATGTGAATTGGAGATTTTTATAGCAAGTTCTAAATATACATTCCATTAAAAAAAGGATGGAAAATATCATAAGGCTGTTATGTGTTAGCAGAACAAAATACAAAGGAGGTGAAGTGCTAAATTTTATACCACAGCAACAAAGTGTTTTTGAGCCAAATCACACGGGATAAATTGCAATTTACCCAAACATAATAGAAAACAGAGCACAGATAAATTAAGGAGGGTTAAAATTGCAAAAGAAAAGAATGGCAGAACCTGTAACTTTTGAAGAATCCTAGGATGTTTGACTCATGACCATGACCAAGTCTACCAGACACTCCCATTCCCCAACTAAAGGCTTCTCCTCCATCTAGAAAAGATAGAAACAACACTTGAGAAGATATTATGAACATTTATGTACAATTTACAGTCATGCTTGCTATAATGATCTCAATAAAAATAGTAGGATCAAACTCATAGGATTATTAAGATGTAATATATCATGCTTTTGGTAGACATAAGAAAATAATATAAAGAGAACATATATTTTCAAACTCCATCTCATCATAAAATTACATATCCCCATAAACAGAATTCTTTCTGCCAGAGGTGTGCATCTTGATGAAATTTGTTGGGACCATACTGAGAATGGATGGTCTCCAAATTGCAAAAAATCTGGGACACGGAAATTCAAATATCAAAAAAACAAATCATTGTACGATTCCTAGTTACTAGACAGCAATCTCACTTTACATTCAAGTCATATGTAAAACCAAAACTAAATAATGAATTCATCTTAAAATACTAAAATGTAGGGGGGAAAAACAGATAAATTAATCTCAGCAACTAAGACAATATAAATTAATGATTGTTCATCTATTGCGCACCACTAATAGCCACCGAGTGCTCTGAACCCAGAGCTGCCATTTTAATGTTGATTCCATCCAGGTATTCCACTTTAGTTGGCAAAGGAACTATGTTTGGAGCCCCTACAATTCAGCAAAAAGGTGTTATTTATAAAGTAGCTGTGCTACCAGTCAACCTTTTTCTTTGAGCAGATTTATCATCACTAACTATTAAGAGTATCCAGTTTTTAAAAAGTATACATAATATGACCAGGCTCAGAAAAACAAAAGAAAAAACTCTTTAGGTCCATTAAATGTTAACACAAGGTTTAGTTCATACTTTTTCCGAGTCCAAGCTGCCCACTTGCATTCTTTCCCCACATGTATAGTTCTCCATCCACTACAACAGAGACGGAGAGGAGACAATGTTTAAAAATAGGAAGGTAAAGAATATGCAGAAATTCACAGGGTAAAACAACTTAGGCTGTTAAACATTCATTTGGAGGTAAAAAGAATCCCTCCAATAACAAATACAAGTTATTGAGGATCAAGCCTTGTAAGTTGTTACTATTGGTATGGTTGGCATTAGAATGTAAAATTAAAGACCTGTTATCGCACAAGAATGATTATAACCAGCAGAGATCTGCACAATTTTCTTCTCTCCAAGAACACGAACTGGCTCCTGAAATATCCCAAAACAAGGCTTACAAGTAAATTCTTCTTCTTCCTTCTTATCCCCAGAGGGAAATACATTTGTCAACTACTACTACTGAGATAATTTGACTAGAAAAAAAAAAGATACAATACAGGTAAAAAGGCAAAGAATTCATACCACCGAGTAGTGTTTACTCTCTGATATACCAAGCTGTCCAAAATCATTAAGTCCAGTAGCATAAACGCATCCATCGTCTGCGAAAGGAGGACAATTTGTGAGCTCCTCCTCGGACAATAAGGAGACTCTTCAATAGTCATGTCATCAGACTCATCAGCAATTTTAAACACTTCCACATTGTGGGAACCAATCCAATAGCACAGTGAAAACTGAAAGCTGATACTAAGATGAACCAGCATCTAGGAAGAAGGAAGTTAAAGACCTTCCAATTCCTAAAAAAAAAAATCCCACTGACATGAACTACAAAAAAGACTCTAACAATATCTGCGCATATATAAATATAATCGACAAACAAGGAAAAAAAAAAACTCTGGCAATTGATACATGATTAACCATTTGAATAAAAAAATGGAGGAATAGTGAGTTTGATAAAGTGGAATGAAAAGTGAACCTGTTAAGAAGAGGGTGTGAGCACCGCCACAAGCAATGGCTTTAAGGGTATGGTTGCGGAAGGCAGGGCAAACGGCGGGGTTCCATTGCGAATCCAAGTTGCCGAGACCCAATCTGCCGTAATCGCCGTTTCCCCAGAGCGCGGCGAACCTCTTCCCCGGCGCGGACGAGAGCGATCGCGTGAAAAACCCTAAAGGCGAAGCGCGGAGGGGGAGTCTGGAGAAGCTTCGACGCCACATGAAGCGAATGGATTATGGATTTAGTTAAATTAGATGAATGTATTGGAGAGGAAGAGAGAGAGCAAAGAGAAATATCTCATGCCTCACGCTTCACGCTTCACGCTTCACGCTGCTGCAACGTCTGTGCTATGCTATGCTCTTCTGCTTATGGCGGTTATGTGCTGAGACACCAAATGCCATGTCGATTAAAGGAGCTTCTAAATTAAGATTGAAAAAATTTGCACTCAAATTTTTACTCTCTCTCCTTTTTTTTCACTAGAATGTGTATTTTTTATTGAACTTAATTTTCAACTGATATTCAAATATATATACTAATTTATAATGATATATTCCATTTTATATTAATAATTCAGTTTTTACGAGTATCTTAATCTCATAAAGATTTATAATAATAGATTCTAGGTTAAATACCTATTTTGTCTCTTACAATTTTTTTTGTTTTAATTTAGTTCTACTTTAATTTTTGGTCTCAATTTGGTCCTCAATAACTTAAATTAGTGCAATTTGGGACTTCCGTCCAAATGATTTAGACGGAGTTAACTGTTGGTCACGTGACATCTACGTGGATGTGCACATGGACGCCCAAATTCCAGAAAAAAAACCTGAAACCAGAACGGCTCGTTCTGAAACCAGAACGAAGTTAACTGTTCTGCTTTTAGAACGGGTCGTTCTGCTTTTAGAACGGGCCGTTCTACTTTTAGAACGGGCCGTTCTGCTTTTAGAACGACCGTTCTGCTTTTAGAACGGCCTGTTCCAGAACGCCATGCATTTTATTATATTTTTTTTGTTATATCTATATTAATAAATATATAATAAATAAAAAATACAATAAATTAATATTTAGTTATGAATAAAACTAAAAAAAAAATCAAATAAGATAAGACCTTCCAAAATATTTCTTTGATTTGAATTTATCCAGTTCAAAATCTTGACTAAAATGTCGCAATGTATTTCAAAAATTGAAAATAAAATTCAGGGTTTAGGGGTACCTCCTCAAAAATAGGTTGTTATTGTTGGGGTACATCGTCAATGACTTCAAGGAAAAATACTATTTCGTTTTATCCTTGACTGTATAGTGTCAATTTGGTAGTAAGTGATTCACTCCAGTTTGACTAAATGAAATAAAACTTGTTACCATTGTCCTTAGTGATACACTGCATCATCTTTAATGATATATTGTATAACCCAAATGTTTAGCAATTGAAGTTATTAATCCTCATTAACAATATTACCAAATCTAGTGTTTGAAATGCTTTGTATTTTGGTTTTGTTTGTGCACGAAATTTTGGACCAGAACGGCGTTCTGAAACTAGAACGGCCCGTTCTGGTTACACTGTTGGTGTGTTAATTTTGGACCTGGAACGGCCCGTTCCAGGTGCAAATTTTACACACCAATAGTGTAACCAGAACGGGCCGTTCTAGTTTCAAAACGGACCGTTCTGGTTCCATGTGTATTCAAGTATTTTTTGATCTACCTACGTGGCATCTACGTGGCATCCACCTGGCATCCACGTAGCTACCAGTTAACTACGTTTAAATCATTTAGACGGAAGTCCCAAATTGGAACGATTTTAAATTATTGGGGACCAAATTGAGACCTAAAATTAAAGTGAGACTAAATTGAAACAAAAAAATATTGTAAGGGACCAAAAGAGGTATTTAACCTAGATTCTACCTTGGTCTTTATATTATTTGAACCATTATACTGTCTTATTTTAAAAAAATTAAAAAATAATTTTTTTTATCAAATTTAAAAACTTAAAACTAATTAATCATAATATCAATTAAATCAATATATTTTAATTATTTAAATTTTATTTTTATTTTATTTTTAATAGAAGCACAAAATACCTCGATCCTACTAATAAATTATAAAATAAAATATCATATTTTTAAAATTTTAACCTTTCTGTTGCAAGAACTTAATTTTTGTGATTTATATAAAAAACTTAGTACTTCGTGTCTCTATATGTATTTTTTGTTTTATATATATATATATATATATTTATTTATATATATAGTTAATCATTTATACACTGTTAATGTAAAGTTTTTTACACTAACAATCATCATATCTTTTAAATTATTTTATTTTATTATTATTTCGTTAAATAAGCAACTGACATGACACTATTAAAAGATATGATTGATTGTCAGTATAAAAACATTGTATAGGTGATTAACTTATATATATATATATATATATATGTGTGTGTGTGTGTATTTCTATTATTTTTGGTAATGCTATAATTTAATTCTTTTACAATTATAATACTTTAAATATATCAAAAATATTTTACACTACATAATTATAATTACTTGATATTACATAAGTATTACTTGGTATTGCATTCTCAAGTGTCTTAATATTAAAAAAAATAATTAGAATTGATTTCAAATAAGAAAATGTGTTACAATTATATTTTTGTATCTATTAAATTTGCACATATAATATTTTAAATTAATCATATTATTATATTACCTTTCTACCTTTTGAGACAATAACTCTTTTTTACTGTTTTTGAAAGTTGAGTTTTATTTGTTATTATTATAGAACTTCATTCAGTAGAACATATTTTAAAAGGATGAACATAACAAAGAAATTTAAAATTAAAGTATAACCAAGAACACAATATGAAGATGTCAGATTAAAACTAGGTCAATTGTTATAAGGGAATACTCATTTCAAATATTTCATAACTTTTCAAAGTAACTCTTCTAAAAAAATATAAGTGATATTATTAAAAATGAATATAATAAAAAATAACAATAAATAAATAAACATGTTAACAGTTACATGTCTGTCAAAAATACATGTCAAAAAAATGATACATCTTGTACACAAAATAGAATGTTATCCAACAGAAAATTAAAATGAAGAGAAATTATATTTTAGCTGATCATATATTACATCCGATTGCCTAATTAAAATAAGAAACACCGGACCATCATGCAAACTATCATAACGAGGGCATGTGTTAGAAAGATTAATTTTCCCAATTTCAACTATTTTTCAAGAAAAAACTATTTGAAAAATAAGTTGAACGTATGGACAACTTAAATTTGTAAATAACTTTTTTTTCTAAAAAAAATATTTTAAAAGCTGAAAATTTAAAACTTATGATTATTTCTATTTTTTTCTCCTTTTAAGCTGATTTACTACAAAAAAAAAAAAAAACTGATTTTCTTGATGCATCCAAACAAAATTAAATATCTTGAAATCTTTTTTTAACAAAACAAAATTTCATTCCGAGTATAATCAATTATAACAATAATCGATTATTCACATAATCGATTATTAAAATAACCGGTTTTCCTCAACACACTCTTAGTTGTCATTGCATTTCTGGCCTCTAATCTCTAGTCTATAAAATATCCACGATGGAAGAAATTAGGACTTTATAATCGTTTTCTATATCAAAACAGTTTCAGGCTTCCAGCCTTCATAAAACAGATGCTAGTCAAAAGCTACAGCAGCATGCACAGCTGCTTTCTGACAGTCGGGCAGAGTGAAATCAGAGCAATAGAAGGGGGATTTTCTGCTCTGGCTATAACATTTCTCAAGTTACAAAGGAAAATGCATTTTCCATTCTAAACTACATAAAAATCAGGGAGGTTTTGGTTCAAAGACAATACGGGGAAGGCAGAGAAGAGAATTGGCTCAAGACTTCGCTAATCTTATTTTAATTTAATTCGACAAATACATATATCACGAAAAACAACCCCTTTAGGGTCCAAATGGATTATTCCTATTATTGTAGAAGGCACGCTGTGTATATGGATTACGGCCTACTTGGGGAAGGTGTGAATGAATTGATGGAAGATAAGGATTTGAAGCGACTGATTTTTGATGAATTGCAAAACCTTGGGAACTTTGGGATGCAATAAGATGTGATGGAATGGAAGGATTATAAGATCGTTCAAAAGCTACTGGATGTAAGGAAAAATGAGGAGTTGTCCCTGGGTTGTGATTGTGATTCACCTTAATATTTGTACTAGAAATAGCATGAGGAGGTCGGTAGGAAACTGGGGCAGCCAAAGAAACAAGCGAATTACGCGGAGTTTCACTAAGAGATTGCTGAACCCAACCCCCTCTAAGGGGCTCTGTTCCTTGCAAGGCTGAAACTATTTTCTTTTCATTACGTATCCGAACTTTTTTTTCCTCTAAATGCTCCTCTAAACGCCTCTTTTTTGGTGGATGAGGATTTTGCAAAATAGGGAGGTTATTCTTATTTTCACCAATGTGGCTAGTAACCCCAACTTCCAGAGTAGAAGCAGTATTTTTCCCAAACAAAACATCCATCAAATTATTTCCCTGGCTTTGGCCATTTAGAAACTGCGTAAGGAAATCAAGAGATTTATGGATACATCTGTAGATCGTCTTTACCGCATTTCTTCCAACTGCTCTAGCAACATTTTGGGACCGATCTATGAAATCTTCAACCTGTTCAATAACATATCATCAACATAAATTGAATAATATAGGTTAATATCCAACTAAAATAGGGGTTGATGGAAATGAATCTAATTACACTTATTGGGTAAGAGCGTTTCCATGATTTTAAAATCCACGACCCTTCATATAAGCTGGCACAAAATCCTTTCTCCCAAAGTTTTTCAACTGATGCTAGCTGCAGTAGGAATGAAATTAAATTACTAAACGATCATGCTTCCACGAATTGAATTGAAATACAGATTTCACACTATTATATACCTTAAACAAACAAAAGATTAAATTTGAGATCATCAACCAAGGTTATCATGCCATTAATAAAAGTAATGCCAGTTGGAAAAGGACAACAAGAGAAGCTCTCTCTCAAGGAGTCTTGCTCTGCTGGATTTGCGAGAGAAGCTCTCAGTGAAAGGATCAGAGCTATAGGGAGATGTATGAGGTGAAGGCCACCAAGAAAAGGCTGAAAGAGTCTGTGGAATGGAGGCAAAGGTAAAAGCTCTTAGAATGAATTAGCGAGCATCAAAATTGTGCTGGCAGTAATGCAAACCAAGGCAGATAAAAATCAAGAAGATGGTGATGCTCATATTGACTTGAGAAGAGAGTACAGACAAAGGTGTGGATAACAGTGAAAAGGGGAAACAATTGGAAACACGAAAAAAATTGACAAAGAATCTTCCACCAAAGCAACAGCCATTGATGTTGGGCTTGAAGAAATTGCAAGAAGACACATTGGAGGAATTTCATCGGTCAATGAAGAAGGTCAAGCAACCATTTGATGGCTGGATTATGCAGGCAGAATTGTATTTTCAAGTACATGATAGACATCCTGAGGTGCAAATGAATTTGGCACAGATAGCGTGGAGACCTACAATCCATTTCCTTAAATTGCTGTCTAATGACAATAGGGAGCAGCTCAAGGTGGAATTAGTCAAAGTGTCAAACACTATGAAGTAGCTGATATGAGCAGTTAGCAGCCCTTCATAAATGGGCCAGTGTCAGAGTGTATATCCAGGAGTTTGAGAGGTTGACAGCCTAGGTGAAAAGGTACCTAACAACCAAAACTTTGGGCCTTTCCTCCATGGGTTGAAGGGAAAAAACCAGGGGGCAGGTTTGAATTCTGAGAACCTTGGGGCCTCTATTGCGACCTCGCCTCACGGGTATGGTCAAGGAGGTGAAAAAGGAACTCCAGGTAAGGGAAGGAAGTTCAAACAGGTTTAATGGTTGGAGAAGCATTGGAGCCATAAGCGCATATGGATTGAGTTCCAATATCCAATCTGAGTCAGTTGGGATACAACCTAGGACCCAAATGGGTCTATGTTCATAGGGGAAAGGAAGTAGGCCTAGGATATGGAAATAATCAGCAAAAGGAGGGTCTTATTGGCTCAATGTGAAATCAGGCCTAAGCTCAGGGAAAAAAAAGGACAGGAGAGAAAGGACTTAATCATTTGTCGAATCATGAGCTTATTGAAAGAAAACAAAATCCCCCACCTCTCGCTCTCACTCTCACTGGTTCATCTCTCTTATTGAAAGGAGATGGTTTATGTTTGCTGTTGAGCACCAGTCATCTTAGATTCTCGTTGAAGACTTGGAAGTTGTGGTAGATTTGGGATATTTGGCATGTTACTGTGATAATCAATAAGGAAATGTTCACAAATCGTAGCTGAAGCAAATGATATTCTTAGAATTTAGAATTCTAAGATCCTCCAACCAAACATACCACTAATATATTCAAAAGTTATTTTCCAAATATGAAGCTAAGATATTCTGGAGCAAAAAACAAAGATATGCTAGGATATTCCAAATACTCTGAAATACTCAAATAAGAACCAAAATTTATACACAATTAAGGGGGTTAAAATACTCAATATTAGTAACAAAATGCATCCCACGCCAAAAATCTTGTCAGAAATTTAACAGTAGAATAAACACAAAAACAAAAGATGGTGAAGACAAACCAGAGGATTAATGATCAAATGTTAGGGATCAAACAAAACTTTTCTTAAATGACAGCATGACAATCACCAGCAATGAACATCAAAAAATTACTATCCTAATCAACATTAACTGATGTTGTATGTCTGATCTTATGTTTAATACTTAAGATTATAGGGTTAGATGGAAAACAAGGGAAACCAAATCTTTGAATATCATCATAACTGTAACTAACCTTTTTATTCTAAACGGTAGACTATGAAACCAAGGTTGTCAAATTACAATTCAAATAATGAATCATAAATCATATCGGATCACAACATTAAGAGACAATGAAAAATAGCTGGTAATACATCTTATAAAGTGCTCAATGTAATAATTTTAAGCTACAAAATGACAAAATAACTTAAGCATAAGCCTGACAACAAAATCATAATTGAGTATGTGAAGCCTCTATTTCAAAATAGTGAAAAGCAATGGAACAGCCAAATAAAGACTTGGAAAAAATAATAGTATATTGATTGTTCTTGATACATTCTCTAACCTCCCTATTAAAGCACAAAGGCTAGGCCTAAATAGGGAAACAAGGAAACAAAGAAAGAATAACAGAAAATAAATACAAAGATATCATGTGATATCTATACCCCAAAAAATATCCCCCAATATCTTTCTCTAATTACAACATAAAGTCCATAGAATGAAGTGGGTGGCAATGTGAAAATCCTATTTCAAAAGAATGAAAATATAGCATAAAATAATCGAACAAGGTAAGAGAAAAACAATGAATTGTGCCGTTTGTAATGGTTATACGGAATCACAATAGTTCATCCATGTCTTGTGAGATTCAAAGCAATTTGCAATTCATCACATGATACAAATTGATGGCTAGACAAATCTATCAAATCACGCAATCCAAATTAGGAATTGTAAGATTCTAATAACTATGACGAAACAACCCGCATGACCTTTTACTTTGGGTGCAGAACTAGTGAATGCTATTTATATAAGGAGACAGGTAATAACAAAACATAATTCTCCATAGACAGAAAATCATAGAAATTACCTTGACTAAAAGAGTAATGAAAAGCATAGCCAACGACTCTTTGTTCTGTTTCCCGTAGTTTAAATAAGTTTTAACAACCTTAGCAACAGACGCAGGATCATCTCCCTCTGGAACACACATTTTAGACACAAAAGTTAGTAAAAGACAAGGTAACAAAACTTCATAACCCAATTAGTTCCTTTCCTTCCTAAATCAAAACACTTAACATTGGCTCCTCAAAAGTAAAGATCTTGCAAGGTAGCAAGACGTCTACCGCAAGCATTACGTACATTGGTATATATAAATACATGTTACTTAGCTGTTACAATTATTCACAATTTTAGACTTTTGTGTTTACATGTCTTATCCTCTAGCAGTTTAAAAATAGTACTACATCAAAGCATAATTGAGACTCAGCACGCAATCAATTAACCAAAACATGTTAAAACAACAACAAAAGAAAAATACATGAGAATCCTGTCCCAACTCACTTACGGGTAAAACAAATACAAGCATTCATCATGTGAAATTCTTAGTGTTTAGAAAAACTTAAGATGTTAGTAATTTTAAGGGGGTGTATTGGTTTAAGATTTCATAGGATTTTAAAAGACTTTTTTAAGTAAAAAAGTCCATTGATATTTAATCAAGATTTTATATCACTTAAAAATAATTCAGTGGTATTCAATATAGATTTTCAAGATTTTTTAAAGAGTCCATTAAAATCCATTGATATTCATTTGAGACTTTTTACAACTTAGAAACAATCCATTCGTATTCAAAAATATAAGGATTTTAAAAGATTGTAGTATTAGACGGATTTTGAAGGACTTTTTAGTAGTATCTATAAATACCAAATTCATAAAACAATCACATCCAAACTCACTAGATTTTGGAGGATTGTTTGAAGTAACTTTTCAAGTGCTTCAAGGATTTCCAAGTGAGTTTTTCATCTCTTTATTTTTTCTATGCTCTTATCTTCTCCATTTTTTTCTCTATTAATAATACTGCATTATTGCTCATATATAATATTGTACTACTGTTCCCATTCCATTTTCCTATTTGGTGAAATTCCAATATGTAAATGACAGTGTCATTGACTTGTTCTATTTTTTTCTCCATTCTCTTTAATTGACTTGCTTTTATTTTCCTCTATTTAGTTGAGTTTGTTCCTCAGATATATAACAAAGAAAATACTTGAAATTTCAACTTTTACGTAATAATCTTTTTATAATACGTGTCAAGAAAAGGGAAAGGTGAAAACTAAAATTGATATCACGATCTCTACAATCAACTATAGATCTTCAAGATCTTGTAATCAATTTAGATTTATTAGAACAATATATATATATATATATATATATATATATATATATATATATAAGATGAATTTGAGTTAGGGATTTTGTGAGTATTATGAGATGAGAATAGATCTTAGTTGGGGGAAGAACCCTCTCAGCACAAAAACAACGATCTCTCTTCCTCCCTTGAGTTTGTTACTATTATCCTTCCTCCTTTTATGACTCAACAATTATTTTATTTCTTTTTTTACTGTGAATTTTATTTTTTAATTTTTATATTGTGAAATTAGGATTTTTTTATATTCTTAAAAGGAAATTAACATAAGACATTGTGGTATCTTAGAATTTAATACTAAAAATATTTCTTCGCGAGTTAATAATTGAAAGCAATTAAAATTTAAAACAATTTGTCTTTGACTCTTTAAATTTGAATATATGAAAAAAAAATCCTAAACTTTTATCGTATGGCAAAATTCCATAAAATTCTGCAAAATCTACAAAGTCTCGTAGAATCCATTAAAATCATGATTTAAAAGTCTTGTATAATCCATTAAAATCCTAATTTAAAGTCTTGCAGAATCCTACAAAGTCTTAAAAGTCATGAAAATCCTACAAAGTCTTTTAAAATTCATAAGACTTTTTTCAACTAAAAAAGTCATTTAAAATCTTAATCCAATACACCCCCCTTAGTAGGCGAGATTTATACTAGGTGTAGGACAAGGGCTTGTTTATATGGACAAGGATCATTCTAAAATAATTGGATAGACATGCAGATTGGGCGAGAAGCAAGTGATAGAAGATCCACAACACCTTTCTGTGTTCTAATTGGTGAAAACTTGATCTCATGCAAAAGTAAGAAGCAGACTATGGTGACAAGATCAAGTACAGCAAGTCAAGTCAAGTATTGAGCTATGGTTAATACAACTTCTCAACTCTTATGGTTGAAGGACTTGCTCCGAGAGTTGAAGATTTGTAGATTGGGAGTTTGGGACCATGGAACTTGCTTGTGATAATCAATCTGCATTATTATATTTTTTCCTCAGACCCTATCTTTCATGACAGGACTAAGCATATAGAAGTTGATTATCACTTCTTTAGAGAGAAGATCCTCTCTAGCATCATCAGGACTACTTATGTGAGTTCTAAGGACAACCTACTGATATGCTGACTAAATTCTTATGAACTCCTTATATAGTTTACATCTATAACAAGCTAGACGCATCTAACATATATGTTCCAACTTAAGAGGGAGTGTTGATTAAAATTATTTCCTTATAATTAGTCCTGAACTCTTGATTATTAGCATATTTATTGTGTATCTTTTCCTTAACTCTGCCTATGTTTTCAGTCGGTCCTAGCCCAAGATAAGGAAGAGGGTGGTGCTAGTGGTAGAACTAGTATCAAAAAGGAAGAACCGAAACAGGAACTGGATTTTGTTGAAGAATTGAAAAAGAATAGACAGGTTTTGAGCAAAGAAATATAAAAAACAGAATAAATTCTGCTGCCTGCAGGTAAATCCAATCTGTAAGGCACTTTCCCTATCTTTGGTAAAATCTGGTAGGGTCTGTAAAAACACAGGCTCAACTTCTTGTTGGTTTTCTTAGAAAGAGATTGCTTGCGATAGGGCTGCAACATCAAATTGTACCTCCCTTCAGGGTTGGTTAGCATGTTTCCTCCATAGTTGTCAATCTTGGACAGCGGAGCGAAATGGTCAATCCCAAAAGTGGGATAGCAGATAACAGGGTGATTGCTATTCTAATATTATATAATTATATTAAATAATTAATAATATATATATATATAATCTCAAAAAAAGATAAACAAGTCAAAATTCATGCATTAATCATTTGGATGGGAGATGGTTTTGCTGACCACTAAAAGACAAAACTGCACAAGTAAAAAAAACTGAAGAATTAACAAAAATTTGTTGCTACCAGCAATAAAGAAAATACAAAAGAGTAAAAGGAAGGAGAAAAATAACAAAAGTGAACTGAAAAAGGAAAGATAAAAACAGAAAAGGAGAGACTCGTCAGAGCTGCAGCAAGAGTACACAGGAGAAGAGAGGAAGAGAAAGTTAGGGCACACATGCACAAGGTCCATGCACAATAAGAGAAAAAGAAGAAAAAAAATCTAATGGTAAATAATATTCCATATTCCCATAAGCTTTGGTTTTTAATTGTGTCGACTAGTGTTGTGGGATTCATGTAGTCGACCTCACCTAGTTAAACACATGTTGACTCTCATTAATGTGGATCTCAATGGAATGTACGAGGCTTTAGTGTCTTAAAACACCAGATCAGGGAAAGACTTGATGGTGAAAGCAAAATGGATACAAAAATAAACACAACGGTGATGCAAATACGAAGTTTTGTTTTATTTATATATAAAGGAAGTTTTGAAATTTATTTATCATCACAGCAAGTTTGAGCGGGGTATCAACATCATGCATAATTTTAAAAACCGGATTGGTCATCAAAACGGTTAAAGTACTGGGTCAGTGGGTTAGAGGTTGAATTGATAGGTCACTAATTGAACCGCATGACCCAGTTTTTATTAATTTTTCTAAAATAATATTCATATTAAATATATTTTATACTTATAAATTTCAATAAATTCATATCCTATCTTAAATTTTAATTTTAATTTTATTTAAAATTATCTTTATTTTTATTTTGTATAAAAAAATACAAAAAAATTATTTTAAATTTGTTTTTGGTTGAACCAGTTTGACCCACCGGTTCACTGGTTGAACCAGAAAATTGACTGGTTCACTCCGGTTTGAAACGGGTCGAATACATAACCGATCCAACTCAGGATTAGGACCAACTGGACCATCGATTCCCGATTCAACCAGTCCGACCGGCCGGTCCGATCCGGTTTTAAAACACTGCATCCATGTCCCTGTCCTAGCCTTGACTTTGACAATTTGAAAAACACCATCCCCTACCATAGTCGAAGCAGGTTTTTCCTATCAAAGTCAAGCGGGTTCGAGTGGGTACCCATGGGCATGGGTTTGTTTGTCATGCCTAATAAATGGGTGTTGCAAATTAGTATCTAACAAACAATTTATCAAAAAATACACTGATTCAACATCCCAAAATCATAAACACGGCCTAGTAAAACTAAAGGATTACAATAAGATTTGACTCAAAGATGACTCAAAAATTTATTGGCAACAAAAACATTACCTTTGAGTAAAATAGAGAAGGGGGGCAATATAGGAGGATTGCGAGTCTGCATTAAAAACAAGAGAAAAAACAAAGAATTAAATTACCTGAATAGGAAAAAAAATAACCTAGGCATCACTAAAATGCTATTTGGGAAATATAGTCAATTTATCAATCAAAATCCCAACTGAAAATATCCAGTCAATTTTTATCCAAGCAATAGTTGCTCTTAACATGTAAAATTTTAACATTCCCAATATATGTTTAAATTCCATATATCAGGAAAAAAGGAAAAGTAGTTTGGGATAGTGTTAGGAGCGGAGCCCAATATAGAGAAATGGGAAATTTAGAAACAAAGGAAATGGAGAATTTTATTGCTCGACTAAGAATAAGAAAAGAATTCTAATTCAAGGGTTTCTCTTTCACACATGGTTCCCCTTTATTGAATATTACCAACTTTTTTATTTTCTGAATGAATCTTATCCTTCTTATTTCCACTATTTATCTAACTGATGTCCCCATGAACTAACTAATTCCTCTAACTATTATTGAAAGGTAATTATACACTTAAGTTAAATAAATAAAAAATAGAGGGGGATTTTGTATTATTTTATTGTACAAGGACATAAAAAAAATACTGGCATAGATCGTGTAAGTCAAAGTTATCAATCATTAATAATACTTCTCATATAATTCAGTTCTAAGATAATCCCCTTGACAAAAACATTTCCCT